CGCGAGAGCGCGCATACGCGCGCCTAGGCCGCCACGGCCTGGTGAGGGCGACCCAACCGCAGGCGCCAGCAGCCATGACATCACCAGAGCTGACGGGGCTACTGGTGGCAACAGTGGTGCTGGCAGTTCTGACGATCACCGTAGACTGCCACAAGTTGCAGCAAGGCGCGGACGCATGGAGGGAGGAGATCCTCCACCACCGCCGCAGCCTCAAGCAGAGCCGAGGCCAAGGCCCAGGCTCCCTGATTGGACTCGCTTCGACGTTCAGCTCAGCCTCCAAAACCTGCGCAGCTTCGACCCAGCTGTAGTGCAGCGAGAACTCCGCAAACTCCACCTGAGATGGTTTCATGCCAAGGAGCCAAAAATGCGGATGATTCTAACCAAGGTTGGTCTGGGTGAAACCCGTTTGAGTCTGATCAAAGGCATTTGTGACTCGTGTAGGGAATGTCGAGCCTGGGACAAACCAGGCAACACGGTGATGCCTTCTGTGTCACTGCCAGGACGTTTCAACGAGGAAGTCGAATGTGATCTCTTCTTTTATAAACAGGAACATATTGTTTTTCACATCATCGACCGTTGTATTCGCTGGGCAGCTGGCACAGAGATTCCTGATAAAGCATGCATACTGTTCTCGATGCCTATCATACGACTTGGATGCAGCATGGCCCTGCCAAAATCTTATACTCCGATGGGGAAGGAGCACTGAATAATGATACGGCAAAGGCCATCCTTAAGGCTAAGGGAACAGAGCTTCGTATTCGAGCGCGTGGCCAACACGCTACAACTATCGAAGCTAGGAACGGCATCCTGCGACACCTCCTACACGTGATGGGAGAAGAATTGAATAGATTAAATATCCCTCTCAATTTCACTCGTCTCTTACATGAAGCCTTGTTTGCCAGCAACGCATTTACCTTCTATAATGAAGTGTCTCCGTACAATGCGCTGTATGGTAGACAGCCAGCTATGCTTCCTGATTTCCCTGTCTTGGATCATGATCAGCCCACTGAATCATCAGATCACTCAAGGGAAGAAACAATCAGGAGGGTTAGTCTGGAGGCAATCACGCAGGCCACTGCGGTTGCCAAGACGAACAGGGCTCTCCGTACAAAGACTACTGCTACGGGTGAATTTCACTATAAAGAGGGAGATCTCGTGGACTATCATCGCCCGACCACCACGAAAGACGACTGGGGTGGATGGAGTGGTCCATACCCGGTCATCCGCAACGAACCTGACCGAGGCCAGGTCATCGTGAAGGTCGGCAATCGCGAAGTACGAGTACAGTATCCTGACACACGACACACACTGTACATCGAAGCACTTATGGTCCGCGAGATAGGATCGGACAATACGGCCCTTCGAACAGTATTGGCCTTTATTGCCGGTCTGCCAGCGGGGAAACCCGCCATGACTTTCGGATATCTACCAACGAAACAGGGTCGGCTGCAGATGACTGCTGCGAGCCGACTTTCACCTAAGGTGCACTTGGCTCTTCAGTACCTCATACGCAACTACTTTCGTATTGAAAACGTTGTTGCTGTACGACTCGCCAAGAGCCTGACGAAGCTGCCTGCCGCACCCTATGCAGACAGCTGTACACTAGTGCACTATGATAACGATGTGACCCCTGGGTTTCATTACTATGAAGCTGATGGCACTGCCTTGAACATCTATGACATCACAGGATCTACACACTCACGCATCATCCAGTGTCTTAAATCCAGGAAGCCTTCTGCTGGGTTTGACCAAGACCTCACTAAGTTTGAGGAACTCGCTGACGGTCCACCACCGAGCGAATCACCTCCAGCAGCTGCTCCTGAGGAGCCTCCTACGGACAACGATGGTCGACTCCCGACCATCATAGAGGAGACAGAAGAAGATCTGGATGCTTTTGTCTTGAAGTCGTGGTATGCTGAACTGATGGATGACAGAACACTCCTTGAAGCTGACACAGAGGAAGTCATGCATACAGTTCCTACATACATGACAGACACACAGTGTGTGTTAGTCTCTACGACCTGTGAAGATGTGCAAGGCCACTTGCCGGAGCGGGGTCACCCGCCAGGATACGACATGGACACTTCTTACTACGTTCCTTTATGCTCCACGGAACCGGATAGCAAATATGATCTGGACTCCGATGAGCACGGGAAGTATATCGAGCTCTGCTTCACTGCAGACATGTCCAAAGTCGTCCTGTCCGAGCAGCAACACCGACTGTTGGATGACAGCAGCGTCACAACTATGCGAGTATACGTTAGCGCTGCCTCCAAACGTGCCGTGGTCGTCAAGGAAGACGATCTACTCACGAAGGCCGACATCCAAGCAAATCCGGTCAAAGTTTCCAAAGCCCTCTACACAGAACTGAAGACTTGGCTTGACAACAAATGCTTCCAGATGACTGACTTAAGCAAGGCGTCTAACATCATGACGTCACGCTACGTATACAAATGGAAGTTTGTCAAGAACGAAAAGGGCGAAATGGAAAGGACGATCCGGTTACGCTTGGTACTCCGTGGCTTCATGGACCTCGAAGCCTTTGATGTCGAAACCTTCTCTGGCACGGCAAGGAGGTCAAGCCAGAGACTGCTCGCAAGTTCTGCTGCATGCAACAAAGCTTGGATCATCGCTTCCCTGGACATCAACATGGCTTTCTTGAAGGGACTGACCTATGGCGAGCTCGCCGCGGCAACGGGCGAGAAAGAACGTGTGGTGTGTTTCACACTACCACCTGGGTCAGCAGCTGTCCTTCGCACACTGCCAGGCTTTGAGTCATATGACGAATCAAAGCATTGTCTCCGGTGTCTGAAACCGGGGACGGGCACGAAGGATGCTCCCAGGGCATTCTCGCTGAAACTCAGGTCCATCACTAGGAGCTTTGGGCTACAACCTACTTCATACGACGAAGAGTTCGAGATGAGCCCAAACCTCTTGACAGCCAAGCACGTTGATGACATCAATATGACTGGGAAGGAAGAGGCTATCGACAAGTATGTCAAGTGTGTTGAAGATACGTTTGGGAAGTGCAAACTGAACAAGCACACATACACGAACTGTGCTGTTCGGTACAACAAGACCGATGATGGGAGCGTCACTCTCGACCAGGACGAATACATCAAACAGCTTCGTCCTATCACACATCCAGAACTCACAGGAGCTGATCCTGAAAGCAAGGCGACGAAGACAATTTCTGATATGTTCGTCAGTCTTCGTGGCGCTCTAGCCTATGCGTTGATCACGCAGGTATGGCTAATGGTCTATGTTGTCTCACTACAACGTATCCAAGAACCGACAAACATCCAGGTACGACGACTAAACGCGGTTACCAGAAAATTGCAGGCAGGTCCGAAGAAGATCGTGTATCATGCTATGACTCCAACAGGAGAAGTCGACCTGCATAGCGATTCTGGCTATCGTCGTCTCAACGGAGATGAAGACGACGAAGTCAAAGGCTACGGTATCCGCGGGGCTAACCTGCTGAGGCGTGGCCACACGCAAGCGGGGAAACCCGTCGTGCACCTGGTGGACGCATACTGCAAGTCTCATCGACTGCAGGTGCGTTCGAGCTACTCTGCGGAAACACTGGCAGCAGCCCACAACTTGGAAGACTGCTACCCGACCATTGTAACGCTCCACGAGCTACACTCGGGACCATTGACCCCCACACAGTTGAAGAACATATTGGAAATGGGTGGTCTATGTATCAAAGTCACTCTGACTATTGATGCCGAGTCTGTCTTCAAATCTTTGTCTAGCAAGGATCTGAAGAAGCCCACAGAGTGTACTCTGCTTGGGCACATCAGCTGGATTCGCCAGATGATGGAACGTGGAATCGTGGAAAGCGTCCAATGGTGTGACACGCGGGATATGACTGCCGATGGTCATACCAAAGGTAGCATTGACCGCGCGTTGCTCCTACAAGTAATGGCCGGCCAGCAATCCTTCAAGCACGAGCTGAAGAAACATACGCCGTATAGGGCGGGCAGGTCGTCTCAGGACGGCCCTGCCTCCCGAGCCAGCGGGGAAACCCGCGGGCAGGTGCGCTTTAGCAGCGAGGAAACTCGCCGGTAGCGAGGCTACTCGCGCGCCCTTTCCTTGTAGGCAGCCGCTGCTGCTTAGCACTGTTTTTCCGCATAATAGAAGTGCGGTACCTGCTCGTCTCCTCCCCCTCCGACTTTAAACGGAGAAGGTTAAAGGCGAGGTATAAATCGAGCATGTACCGCTGCCGTGCCTGGCTCAAGCCGGGCCCGGCCTGATATGTGACTGTGCCTCACTGAGGCGCACTACTTGCATCTGAGATCGGAAAACATCCTTTTCCATTGACGATGCCCATCCTACTCTTTACTCCTGATCCCATGCTTCGTCTCGCTCTCTTGCTCATGCGCTATGAGCCTAAGCCTGGGATATGGAAGCGCCTAAGGCGGACTGTATACCTAAGCTTACCAGCCTGTTTTCGACTTGTTTATGCATGTATGTATGTGAATGCACGTATGCGTGTCTGCCCTATTTGCAGGTATATTTTAAGATACGTGTGTATTGTATACTCGTATTTGTACCGGGTGTGTCCAGACCCAGAACTGGCAAAGGGGTGCCTGGCTTTTTTAGCACTCACTTCACGACGCTGTCTCGTGAATGCAACGCGTTTTCGGGGGACTTGCCCTTTCGTCAGGCATTGGCCAAACTAATCTTTCCCCAGACCCCTCCCAGGGTCCATCCTGGGCGGCCTCTCACAGCCGATCGGCTTCAAACGGCCCCTCCGCGCGAGACGGGCCTTCGGAGACCCACATCTGGGAAACTTCTTGCCGCTGCCGCCGTCGTTGTCGTTGTCGCCGCCGTCGCCGCCACAGGCGACCAACGGCCGCCGATGGCCGCCGCAGGCAGCCGCAGGCCACCGACAGCCCCGCGGGGCGGTGCACCACGGGCCGCTGAGGGACACCGAAGGCCGTCGCAGAGCGGTGCGCCCGAGGGCGGCCGAGGGCGGCCGAGGGCCGCCGCAGGCGATCAACGGCCTCGCGGAGCGGTACGGCGAGGCGGGGAAGCGGGTGCACCTGCGCCACCTGTCCTCGGACTGCGCCGAGCTCCTGGAGCGGCTGAACGGCAGGCCCCCCCGTCGCCGGCCGGCCGCGGCCGCCTGCGCGGCTGGCCGTCGTCGCCGCCGCCCGCCGAGCCCTCGGCGGCCCTCTCCGGCATTTGGCGCCGGCGCGGCGGCCCTCGGCGGCCTTCGACGGCCCTGGGCGGCGGTGCGGACGTCGTTTTCGTCGTCGTCGTCGTCGTCGTCGTCGTCGTCGTCCTCGTACTCAGTCCTTCGTCGTTACCGTCGTCGTACGTCGTTGTCGTTGTCGGTGTCGTCGTCGTTGTCGTCGTCGTCGTCGTACTTCGCCGTCGCCTTCGCCGTCGCCGTCGCCGCCGCCGCTTCGCCGCCGCCGCCGCTTTCGCCGTCACCGCCGCCGCCGTCGTCGTCGTCGTTGCTGTCGTCATCGTCGTCGTCGTCGTCGTGGTCGTCGTCAGTATCGTCGTCGTCGTCGTCGTCGTCGTCGTCGTCGTCGTCGTCGTCGTCAGCGTCGTCGTCGCCGTCGTCGTCGTCGTTGTCGTCGTCGTCGTCGTTGCCGTCGTCGTCGTGGTCGGCGTCGTCGTCGTGGTCGTCGTGGTCGTCGTGATCGTCGTGCTCGTCGTGGAGGTCGTCGTCGTCGTCGCCGTCGTCGATCGCGTCGTCGCCGTCGTCGTCGTCGCCGCCGCCGTCGTCGTCTTGTCTTGTCTTGTCTTGTCTTGTCTTGTCTTGTCTTGTCTTGTCTTGTCTTGTCTTGTCTTGTCTTGTCTTGTCTTGTCTTGTCTTGTCTTGTCTTGTCTTGTCTTGTCTTGTCTTGTCTTGTCTTGTCTTGTCTTGTCTTGTCGTCGACGTCGTCGTCGTCGTGCCGTAAGTCGACGACGGTTCGCGGTTTTGGGCGTTTGTGGCCCTCTGTGGGCTTTGGGGGGCCTCTCGCCACCACGGCTGGGGACCCCTCGAGATCTTGGCCAGCACGCACCCACGAAGAGGCCCAGGAGGTTCCCGTACGTCGTCGCCGTCGTCGTCGTCGCCGTCGTCGTCGTCGTCGTCGTCGTCGTCGTCGTCAGCGTCAGCGTCGTCGTCGTCGTCGTCCTCGACGGCGACAATCGCCGTCGACTGCGGCGGCGGCAGGAGAAGGCCGTACGAGATCATCGAGAGGCAGCCCTCCGAGGACCCCGTCTACGAGGTCCAGAGGGGGTATGAAGCGCGGCGGCGGCGACGACGGCGACGACGACGACGACGACGACAACGACCTCCACGACGACCACGACCACGACGACGACCACGACCACGACCACGGCGCCGACCATGACGACGACGACGACGATGACGACGAAGACGATGATGCTGACGACGACGACGACGACGGCGACGACGACGACGACGCTGACGACGACGACGACGACGACGACGACGACGACGACGATGACGACGACGACGACGACGACGACGACGACGACGACGACGACGACGACGACGACGACGACGACGACGACGACGACGACGACGACTACGACGACGACGACGACGACGGCTGTCACGCGTGCTTTCCTGTGGTTTCTGTAGTCTCCTGCGTTTTTTGCAGTTTTACGGCGGCTGACAATGAGGATTCTGTGCGATTCTGGACGGGTGTAAAGAGCCCAGAGACTCGAAGACCTTCCAAGCTGAGGCTGGCTGCCATTCTGGAGTTTTTCCCATTTGTTTCATCATTGCCATTCTGAAACATCTTCGAACTTATCAAACCTCTTGGAACAGCGCGCGACTTTGGGAATTCCGCCCCTTTCCCGTCCCTCCCCATCAGCTTCCCTCTCGCTGTCCTCCCTCCGCATCAGTTTCCCTCTCCCCTTCTCCCTTCCCCTCCCATACATCCCACTCCTCCCCCCACCTGTCCCACCCCTCTCCCCCCCTTCTGCTCGGCGGCGAGAGGGGGGGAAGTGAGAAGGAGACGGCCTTCTCAGAAGGCTCGGAAGTCCCCCAGCCTTATGCCTTATGATCAGTTTCCTGAAACTTCCCCGAAGACGAAAAAGAACTTCTCAGAAGGCGTGAGGGCTTCTGAGAAGCCCCGCCGCCTTCTGAGAAGGCCTTCGCCTTCTCTCATTTCCCCCCCTCGCTCGCCAGCAATCTGCCTCTCCCCCCCCTCCGCTCGCAGCTCGCGCGCCTCCCTCTCCTCCACCTCCACCTCCCCCCCCCCCCCCCTCCTTCGCCCGCCTCCCCTCGTCTGTTTCCCCTCTCCTCCGCCAGCATCGCATCCCTCTCCTCCGCGCCCCTCTCCTCCCCCCCCCCCTCGCGCCCCTTCCTGGGGCGCGCGCGCGAGGCCACCCATGGAGTCCCAGAGTCTCTCCTGCACCTCCCCCCTCCTCCGCGTGGAGCCCCCGAGGTCCGGCCTCCCGCATGGCTCGTGGGAGGCCTCCCTCCCTCCCCCCCCCCCTCCCGACGCCCTCCGGAGAGCCAGGCCTCCCAGGTGGGGGGTTTTGTGTGTAGCGGTGGTGTGGTGTCGTGCGGATGGCGTGGTGTGCAGTGGTATGCCGTGGGTCGGCGCCCAGAGGCCCCCTGGCGGCGCCGCCGGCGTCGCCCCCGGCACGCTCCGCGGGCCAAGGAGAGGGGTGTTCGAGGCCTCCTGGATGGGGCCCGAGGAGACGGGGTCGGAGGATCGCGCCGCATCGCCGATACATCGGCGACGTCGGCGAAGCATCGGCGCCATCGGCGCGGAGAAAATCGGGCTCCGCACCGAGCCGGATCGCCGATGCATCGGCGATGCGGCGCGATCCTCCGACCCCATCTCCTCTGACCCCATCTGGGAGGCCTAGAGGGGTCCAGCGCCGATCCAAGCAATCCACGCGGACCTCCGAAATTGTATATTTCTACCGGTATTCCTTCTTCGATCCTCGAGTCCTCGGGGTCTGAGGGTCGATGTGTCGCACACAGAAAGGGCAGATCATTGCTCGCCGCCCGACAGGTAATCCGGAGCAATGCCGACACATCCGCCTTTAGACAACACGAATCTGCAAAGCTTGGCGCTCCGATTTTGGAGAAGCTCGCGGGTAGGTTCACCTTCGGACTGCTTCACAGGACCGGTCGACTGCTGCAGGTGTGGGCACAGCGCCCTGGGGGGTCTCGAGGTGAACGGACGCGGAGGCAGCGGAGTGGCGACGCGGAGGCAATGGATATGGCAGGACGCGAGGCGCCGCCAGGGGGCGTCTGGGCGCCGACCCACGGCATCACGACACACGCCAAGCCATCCCAACCCCAACCCGAAGGCCCCAAGTTGCCCTCCATTCCCAGCGTGGGGGCTGCCCGGAACGGTGAAGGAGCACGGGTGGAGCCCGTGCGCCCCCCAAGCCGAAGATTTGGGACTTCGGGTGGGGTTGGGGTGGTGCGGTAGGTAGTCCTACATATGCCAGGAGGGGAAAAAAACACACAGACACAATGAATCGTCGATGCCCCAGGAAATATAGGAAAATATGGGAAGTGGTGGGGAAGATAAAGACCCAGAAGATATGGGGAAATATAGGGGAATACTTTCATTTGTGTGTATTTATTTGTGTGTCCCAGGGCCCCTTCAGTATGCGCGGGCCTCCAGAAGTTTACGCTCATGCAGCTGTTGGCCCTTCCGGGAGGGTGGCTCGAGGATGCCCCTCGTGTGGCTGTCGCAGGGGGATGCTCGGGCACGGCCGCCCGTTACGCGGAGGTCGTCGTGGTCGTGTTCGTGGTCGTGGTCGTGGTCGTGGTCGTGATCGTGGTCGTGGTCGTCCTCGTCGTCGTCGTCGTCGTCGTCGTCGTCGTCGTCGTCGTCGTCGTCGTCGTCGTCGTCGTGGTCGTCGTGGTCGTCGTGGTCGTCGTGGTCGTCGTGGTCGTCGTGGTTGTCTTGGTCGGCTTGGTAATCGTGGTCGTCGTGGTCATCGTGGAGAACGTCGTCACCGTCGTGGTCGTCGTTGTCGTCGTCATCGTATGTCGTCGTCGTGGTCGTCGTCGTCGTGGTTGTCGTGGTCACCGTATGTCGTCGTCGTGGTCGTCGTCGTCGTCGTCGTCGCGGTCGTGTCGTCGCGTCGTCGTCGTCGTGGTCGTCGTGGTGGTTGTGGTGTTGGCGGTCGACGTCGCCGTCGTCGTCGTCGTCGTCGTCGTCGTCGTCGTCGTCGCGGTCGTCGTGGTCGTCGTAGTCGTCGTGGTCGTCGTGGTCGTTGTCGTGGTCGTCGTCGTCGTCGCCGTATACGTTGTCGCCGTAGATCGTCGTCGTCGTCGTTGTCGTCATCGTGGTCGTCGTGGTCGTTGCGGACGTCGTTGTTGTGGTGGCGGTCGTCGTGGTCGTAGTTATCGCCGTCGTCGTCGTCGTCGTCGTCGTCGTCGTCGTCGTGGTCGTCATGGTCGTGGTGGTGGCGGTCGTTGGCGTCGCCATCGCCGTCGTCGTCGTCGTCGTCGTGGTCGTCGTGGTGGTGGTCAGCGTGGTTGTCGTCGTGGTCGTCGTGGTCGTCGTGGAGGTCGCCGTCGTCGTCGTGGCCGTCGTGGCCGTCGCGGCCGTCGTCACCGTCGTGGTCGTCGTCGTGGTCAGCTGTTTTCGTGGTCGTCGTGGTCGTCGCCTCGGTCGCGTCTTCGTCATCGTGGTCGTCGTTGTTGTGATGGCGGTCGTCGTCGCCGTCGTCGTCGTCGTTGTCGACGTCGTCGACGTCGTCGTCGTCGTCGTGGTCGTCGTGGTCGTCGTGGTCGTCGTGGAGGTCGTCGTCGTGGTGGTGGTGGTGGCGGTCGTTTTCGCCACTGCCTTCGTCGTCATCGTGGTCGTCGTGGTCGTTGTGGTGGTTGTGGCGGGCGTCAATGCCGTTGTCGTGGTCGTCGTGGTCGTCGTGGAGGTCGTCGTCGTGGTCGGCGTCGTGGTCGTCGTCGTCGTCGCCGTCGTCGTCGTGGTCATCGTCGTCGTGGTCACCGTCGTTGTGGTCGTCGTCGTTGTCGTCGTGGTCGTCGTGGAGGTCGCCGCGGTGGTGGTGGCGGTCGTCGTGGTCGTCGTGATCGTCGTCGTGGTCGACGTGATGGTTGTGGTGGCGGTCGTCGTGGTCGTCGTGGTCGTCGTGGAGGTCGTCGCCGTCGTCGTCGTTGTCGTGGTCGTCGCAGTCTTCGTCGTCGTCGTCGTCGTCGCCGTCGTCGTCGTTGTCGGCTGTTGTCGTCGTCGTGGTCGGCTGTTGTCGTCGTTGTGGTCGTGGTCGTTGTGGTCGTCGCGTCCTGGTCGTCGTGGCGTCGTGGCGGTCGTTGTCGTCGTCGTTGTCATCGTCGTCGCCGCCGCCGTCGTCGTCGTCGTCGTCGTCGTCGTCGTTGTCATGGTCGTCGTGGTCATCGTCGTCGCCGTGGTCGCCGTGGTCGTCGTGGATGTCGTCGTCGTCGTCGTCGTCGCGCTCGTCGCCACTGCCGTCGTCGTCGTCGTCATCGTCGTCGTCGTCGTCGTCGTCGGTGTTGTCGTCGTCGTCGTCGCGGTCGTCGCGGTCGTCGTCGTCGTCGTCGTCGTCGTCGTCGTCGCGGCCGTCGCGGCGTGGTCGCCGTGGTCGTTGTGGTGATGAAGGTGGTGGTGGTCTTCGTCGCCGCCGTCTTCGTCGTCGTGGTCGTCGTCGTCGGTGCCTTTGGGGCCGTCGAAGGCGGCCGCGTGGGATCGTAGCACGAGTGTGCTCTCGCCGAGAGGTGGCGGAGGGCGGCGCCCTGTACACGGACGTGCCCGTCCCCTCAGTCAAGGACGAGCCCCTCCTCCTGCTCCTTCTCCTCCTGCTCCCTCCCTTTCTCCTTCTCCTGCTGCTCCTGCTGCTGCTGCTGCTCCTCCTCCTCCTCCTCCTCCCACTCCCCCCCCTCCTCCTCCTCCTCCTCCTCCTCCTCCTTCCTCCTCCTCCTCCTCCTCCTCCCTCCTCCTCCTCCCTCCTCCTCCTCCTCCTCCTCCTCCTCCTCCTCCTCCTCCTCCTCCCCTCCTCCTCCTCCTCCTCCTCCTCCTCCTCCTCCTCCTCCTCCTCCTCCTCCTCCTCCTCCTCCTCCTCCTCCTCCTCCTCCTCTTCCTCCACTGGCGGTGCACTGGCAGGGCTCAACTCCGGATGTGAAATCCATGGTGTTAGTGATGCTGAGCTTGCCCACATCCGTCGTCAAGCAGGGGAGTGCCTTCGTCCATCTTGTGGCGGCCGAAGTCTCTCTTCTCCTCTTGTGTGTGAGGACGACCCCACGTATTATGGAATGGTTGCTCCCATCGTACTGTGGGGAAAGGAGGTCCGGGCTGCTCGGTACCATCCACATCTAGGAGGTGTGTCACACAAGGAGCTCGGGCGTTGTTGGAGATCGGTTTCCGAGGGCAAGCTCGAACCGAAGACTTGGCGCTCGGCTGCTGGCCCCATCACGGGTATGTACGTGTCTGTTCGGCGTCTCGGCTGGCCCATGCCTAGCTACGCCACGCTTTGCTCGCACGACGGCACCTCGGTCTCGCTCACACTTGTCAGCCCTACGCTTTTGAAGGGTCTTCTGGGGCGGGCGGTTGCCAGAGGGTTGTGTGTGCGTGGCGCGGCTCACACTTCGTCTTGCCGCGGCCTCCCGGAGTGCTGCCGCTCCCGCCCCTCGGCGGCCCGCGCAGCTCTGCCCTCGACGCGCCGTGGGGCGCCTGGGCCGCGCGCAAGCGCCTTCTCCGCTCGCCAGGCGCGAGCCGAGCCGTTTGCCAATCCCGAAGCCGAGTTGTGCTACACTCGTTTCTCGTGTTGTGGGCGACGAACGAACACAGCACACACCCATACCCATAGGGAGGTCGTTGGGAGGAGGACTGGCTATGGGTCTGGGTGCGGGTTGTCGGACCCTGGGGAAGGCTCCCGTTCGAGCGGGGAGCCCCATCCGACAACACGCACACACAGCCATCTCCGATCCCCCTATGGGTATGGGTGTGTGTTGTTGGTTCGTCATTGGGAGGGAAGGGAGGTGGGAGTGGGCGGGGGCCGCTGGCTCATTCGACCTGGCCAGCTCGCTTCGTACTCGTGCTCTTCCTCCTCCTCCTCGCTCCTCCTCCTCCTCCTCCTCCTCCTCCTCCTCCTCCTCCTCCTCTTCCTCCTCCTCCTCACCTTTCGTCCCCCTCCCCCTCCTCCTCCTCCTCCTCCTCCTCCTCCTCCTCCTCCTCCTCGCGCTTCCTCCTCGCCTCTCCTCTCCATGCCAGGGGATCCGGCGAGGAACGTGGAGGGTCCCCTGGCCGGCGACCCGAGTGATAACGGACGCCGTCGCATGCCAAGCAGTGGCGAAGCGTCCCATTTCGCTGAAAGTCCCAACAACAAATGTTGCAATCAATGTTCTTATAACATTTCTGGTTGAGGCTGTATTGTTTCATCACATCGGGTTTATGTTCTAAGAACATTGTTTTTATGATTCGAACATGTTGGGGTTCTAAGAAAGTTTCATGGTAGGACTATAGGAATGCCGGGACGGTCGGTCCCTGCTCAAACATGTGGTCTCGCATCCTCAAGGGAAGCCATCCCAAGAGTCGGCGTGCCGCTTGCCCAGGGGCCGCCGGAGACGGCTCCCAGCCGTGAGCGGCCTCTCTGGCTCCGCCTCTGCACGCTGTGGGCTCCGTGGCTGCTGTTGGAAATCCCTCCCACCCCTTCCCCCTCCTCCCCCCCTACTCCCCCTCCCCCCCCTCCCCATCCTCCTCCTCCTCCTCCTCCTCCTCCTCCTCCTCCTCCTCCTTTTCCTCCTCCTCCTCCTCCTCCTCCTCCTTTTCCTCCTCCTCCTGTTGGAAATCCCTCCCCCCCTTTCCCTGCTTCAGTATTGTTTCACCAACCCCTGTCCCCATCCCCATCCCCGTCCAGACCCCCACCAGCTCAGCACCTCACTTGGGGATCTGCCCCTGCGAAGCCCGAAGGAAGCGGCCCACACCTCCCTCCCCGGGGGGTACATCGGCCAGCGGCGCCCAGGCCACGCCCATGGGGAGCAGGTGGTCGGCGAAGCGATGCTCCAGGACCTCCTCCTCGGCCGCAGGGACCTCCTCGTCGTCGAAGGCATGCTTCTGCCCTGTGCGCTCCCGCCCTCGGCCCAGGACCTCCTCCTCGGGGACGCCGGCCCCCCTCGAGAGCCGGAGGACGACGAGGAGGACCCGTGACGCACCGTGGCGGCCCCCTCGGGGGGCCCTCGGGCGCGGCTTCGCCTGCCCTCCGCGCCCTCTTCGCGCGCGGGCCGCGCGCGCCGGCTTCTCGGGCGCGGGCCTTCGGCGAGGACGGCCGAGCCTCGACGAGGCCGCGGCGCCGCGCTGCCCTCTCGGCGCGAGGCCGCGGCGAGGCCCCCGGCGGGCAGCGGCACCGCGCCGGCCTCGGCGGTGCCCCGGCGAGGGCCGCGCACACCCCGGAGGCGTCTGCTTCCCCCACTCGCCTCTT